GGACAGGACTTATACAATTTAATGGTAGGGCCTGGGTAATGTTATAGAGACCTAGGGGTTCAGGTAGATAATTCTTTGAAATTTGTATCACAGGTAGACAGGGTGGTTAAGAAGATGCTTAGCATGCTTCCCTTTACTACTCAGATCTTTGAGTATAGGAGTTGGGAAATAATGTTGAGGTTGTACAGGACATTGGTGAGGCCTTTTCTGGAGTATTGTGTGCAGTTCTAGTTGCCATGTTATGAGAAGGATATTACTAAATTGAACAGGGTTCAGAAAAAATTACCAGGATGTTGCCAGGAATAGAACGTTTGAGATATAAAAATAGACTGGAAAGACTGGGACTTTTTTCACTGGAGTGTGGAAGGTTGAGGGGTGACCTTATTGAGATTTATAAAATCATGAGGGGCACAGATAAGGTGAATGACAAGGGTCCTTTTCCTAGGGTGGGAGAGTTTAAAACTAGGGGGCAAATTTTTAAGGTGAGAGGAGAAAGATTTAAAATGCACTTGAGGGGCAATGTTTTTACACAGAGAGTGGTTCACCTGTCGAAAGAACTGCTAGAGAAAGTGGTGGATGCAGGTACAGTTACAACATTTATAAGACTTTTGGATAAGTTCATGAATAGGAAAGGTTTGGAGAGATGTGGGCCAAGCACAGGCAGGTGGGACTAGTTTGGTTTGGAAACATGATTGGCGTGGACTTGTTGGAGCGAAGGGTCTGTTTCCATGCTGTATGACTCTGTGATTCTAATAAAAGATCATGGATATGTTCACTACATAAGTTGTGACAGTCCAGCCAAAATTGGGAGTGTGCCATGTACCAAGCAGATTAATGAATCTTATCCCATTCAATTCCTCTATGTCACATTGCTCTGAATCATCACATCACTAGCACATGGATGTTAAAGTTAAACATTATTTCTTAAGTCCCTTAATTAGGGTATGCTCTTTAATGATGAATATAAAGACAGTATGGTGGATGAATATAGCTTGACATGTCTAGACAAATTTGTCGAAACAGGATTGAGTTGATAACATTTTAGAAATCTTCAACACTTGGCTAAACAGTTGCACAGCTTGAGAACTATTCTCATTAAAAACACCTATCTTTTAAACAAAATATTCATATCCCATAATATAATAGAAATTTAGCAATGGCTATATGTTCTCATTGCAAGTCATTTCCACAATGTACTCATGACATAATTAGGAAGGCAGTTTGATGGATATATTAATGTTACTCTGTGAAGGTAATAGATTTATGTAATGTAAAACAAATTTACTGTGTCTCATTTGTACAAACTAAACTGTAATTTTGTTAAATATATAAACTACTTAATAAAATAAACACAGCTTTCTATAAAAGGAGCTTTAATTCTGTCTGACTTTTTTAATGATAAATCTCACTCCCAAAATTTCCCTAATGTTAAAGGATTTAACTGAAGACAAACCTCTTGCCTTTTCCAATGAAACTCCTGTTACCATATACTGTTATGCCTTAGTAGTGATGATAAAGATAGACTCATTCTAGTTGTGTCTGCTGTGGATTCACATTGGATGCTATATTCAGAATAAAATATTTAGATGGATCCTGCTGGTAAGTCAGTTCAAACTTTATGCTTCCTCTCAAACTATTTTAGATCTGTCCATTATTATCTGTATTGCGAATGCATTTTGATCTGACCAAGAACTGTCTGCGATTTCTCCCACACAAAACCTCTCCCCCATGTGGCCCCATAGCTAAAGGAATCTTAGTTCTTAGCACATCCCCTTCTCCACAGGCCTCAGAGGGACCATACATCATATAAATTAAATTTTCAATGTGCCTACTATTCCACTCCCAAACTATCATTATCTCATGTCAGCACTCTTCCAACAATTGGTCACAGCCCTGTAAGTGAATATTACTATCCAATTACTAAGTCTGCAGGAATTTTCCTTTGATCACTCTGCATTAGCAATATCTTAAAAATATCAGGGAGACCTTTTTTTTCTGGTGGCAAGTTCTAGTAAAATAATAAATATGATGCTTTAGAATGCATACACATTTCTATTAGAAAAGGTAAAGACAGAAACATTGCAACTAGAAAGTTATTACTTAGGAAGGAAGAAGTCACACCATATCCGATCTCTTAAAATACTGTCATTATTTTTTATGTACAGTGAATTATATTAAAGCGCAGTTAATCTAACCAGGCCCCCTCCACATCCTTGACTTTTATTGCTCCAGTATTGGGGGCTGTGTCTTCAACTATTGAAACCTTAAACTCTCTCCCTAAACCTCTCCACCTCACTTTCCACTTTTTAAATGCTCCCCACAGTTTAACACTTTGAGTTTCCTTTTGGTCTAATGTCTCCTTATGTGGCTCAGCATCCAATGTTGTCTGATAATGTATCTGTGAAACAGCTTGGGTGGAAATGTTATGACCTCTTTCGTGGTGTGTTCAGAGGCAGAGGGCATTTAATTACACAGGGTGGTGACATGCCAGAACCCCACTGCCTCTCTTCCTCTGCCAGGATGTCTTCAGGACATAAGCCAATTGTTTGGATCTCCTGCCCTGGCATCAATTATGGAAATTAGATGGGCAATAAATCCACTTAAGGTCCTCATTCCATCACCATTGGTATTAACCAAGTGGCAGATGGCCTGTTGATAAGCTGCACACACAACAGGTAAAATTGTGGAGACAGCTTGTGGTCTACTAGAGGGTGTTGGCTCTGTCTGTCAAAGCACAGTTGAAAGATGTGACATCGGGAAGGTGGGATTGTCTGCTTGGAGCTTTCTCCCCAGCCCTTGTTGCTGACTCACCCCACCCCCCACCACACACCCCCATCTGACTCCGTCTCCTTGCCACCCAAACCCCTCCCATCATTACATATCTGTAGTTTGTTGTTCTCACTCTTGGGCTTTTTCTAGTTGTCTCTGGCAGCAATTGGCACCTCCATAGTGAAGCTACTGTTCACAAGAGTTGTTGGCCTCTGCTTGGCCAGCAGCTTTTGGCAGGTAGATCTTGATCCAGGGAAAGTCCTACCGGTGGCCGGATGTCTCAGTGCCACTTAAGTCAAAGGAGGATCACGGGTCTCTTCCCATCAACCAAGCAACAGATGGGACTCACAACATCTCTATAAAATCCAGCTCCTCCGCTTGTTTTACCATGTTAAGTGTGCTACATAAATGCAAGTTGTTGTTGCTATTGTACAATGTGGCAACGATTCTGCGCACAGAAGTTTCTTAGACTATGGGAAATATTTGTCATCAGAACTTTTGTGTATTTATTTCCCTGTTATAACTTAAAATACTTCATAGATTTTGAAATGCACCATGATGTGAGGAAATGTGCGCATTTTGCACTGTTTGATAAAGTTCTTTTGTTTTACTAAGTTCAGTACATTAGACATGTTTTCACATGCATAATGGAGAATGATGAATTCACTGAGATCAAACCCCCTGTTAAGATAATGTTTTTAATATTTCACCCAGCTTATCTGAATATACCTTTAATCTTTACCATAATGGCGTCTTTTTTTTAATCACCTCTCGACTGTACCACCCTCCGAAATGAAGTGTGTTATTGGTAGAACAAACGGGCTATATTTACACGATACCTGCAGGCAAGAGGCGTTTACATTCGGCAACCAGGCTTTACTGGCAAGCTCAGTCACATGTCATCTGTAGCTCAGTTGGTTGCCCTCTTGACTCTGAATCTGAACATTGATTTCAGTTTCCTTCTACTCCAGGACTTGACTGTAACAAACTCACCGATGTACAAAGGGAGTGCTACATAGTTAGAAGTGATCTCTTTCAGATATGACATTAAACTGAAGCCCTGTTTGGCCTGAGAGGTACATTTTCCTAATCAACCCATTAAGAGACGGCATTACACATCTCTGGAGCAGGTGGGACTTGAACACAAGTTTCCTCGCTCAGAGGTGGGGACAATGCCAGAAGAGTCCTCCTTGCCTGCTCGGCACTGTGCATGAAGCTATTTTGAAGAGGAGTCATCATAAATACAGATAACAAAAACAAAGTTGCTGGAAAAGCTCAGCCGGTCTGGCAGCATCTGTGGAGCGTTAACTCTGTTTTCTTCTCCACAGATGCTGCCAGGCCTGCTGAGCTTTTCCAGCAACTTTGTTTTTGTTCCTGATTTACAGCATCCGCAGTTCTTTTGTTTTTTTTATAAATACAGATAATCTGGTTATCATCACATATTTGCTGTTTGTGAGAGCCTGCCATGTGTAAGCTGGCTGTTGTGTTTCCCACATTTTCATTCGTGGCTGCACTTCAAAACTTACTTCATTGGCTGCAAGATAGGGATAGCCATGGTCGTGAAAGGCGCTATAGAAACAAACATCCCTTTCGCGGCAGGACTGCTTCTTTTTACATTTCCGAGCACGCAAGGTTAGCAGAACAAAGAGTAATTGGAACTCATTCAAATAGAGTTGGGCAATAATGCTAACCTCCAACATCACCATGTGCCCTGATGTGTGTGTGCGTGTGTTTGGGGGGAGGGTGAAATGCATGGAGTCTGGATTTTGAGATGACTAGCTGCTATAAAACATTTGTTCCTTTTTTGTTGAAAAAAGAACATCCAATTTGCTGCCACGTGATGTACTTTGTAACTAGGAAGTTACTTGAAAGCAATTTTAAAAAAGTCTCCAACTCCCTTTGGGTGCTCAATTTTTAAATTTGGGTCTGTGGGTCTGGGGGGGTGGTGGGCGCGCACAAAACAAAAGAAAAAATCCCAGATCAGGCTGCAAATGCAAAGTTAGAGCAGAAACTCCCAGGCTTTAGGGGTTGAATCCTGTTGGAGGGGGAGGGAGAGAGCAAGAGAGAGAGCACATTATTTACAAACGGCAGCAGCGCTGTGGCAGTATTTAGACTTCAAAGTTGACAACCTCGAGAATAGAAGTGGCTGTCTCTGACGTAAAAGGTGGATAGGGTTGCCATGGTGATAAATTCGCAGGGCTGTGAGAAAAAGCTCCAGAACCCGCCTTCTGCACACATTAGTCCGGAGTTTTTTACGTCAATATGCGTCAGCCAGGGTAGTAATGATTCCTCTTGCAACGACCGGGACCTTGGAACCTTATTTCCCTTTTGTTGCCTCTTAGATCGGGGTTGAGACTATCCAGTTTCCCGCCCTCCACCCACCATTTTTTGAATTTTTCTTCCTTTACCCCCCCCCCCAACACACACCTTCCCCTTAAAGTATCCGCATACCACTTCATAGATCCTGTTTTGTTTTCAAAATTAATATATTTTTTTCCCCTTCCCCTCCTTCTCAACACACACACATGAGAGAAACTAACTTTGGTGTGTTTGTTGTTGTGGGTGCAGTGTTGTATATATGAGTGCAGTAGCTGTTTTATACCGGCTCCCAGCATGGTAATGGCGGATTGCCCGAGTCAGCTGCATCGGGCGCCTGTGCGGGTGGGTTTCTACGATATCGAGCGCACTTTAGGCAAAGGGAATTTCGCCGTCGTCAAACTGGCGAGACACCGCATCACCAAAACTGAGGTAAGTGGGGAGTTGGGGGAATGATGTATGAAGCCTTTTGTTCACCTCTGTTTTTACCTTTTCCTTTTTATACGTGTGTCGACAGAAAAGGGAAGACTTGAATCCCAGCCGAATGAGGAAGGGGAGTGCGGTTGGCGGCATGTCCAGGAGTTTTATTTTTTAGAAATAACATCTCAAAGAACTTGCCTCCCCAACCCCTCAAATATACACTTGCAACAAACCGATGTTTTAAATGTTTCTTTTACTGCCTCCTTGTTTCTGAAAATGTGTACAGTTTGGGCTTCAGGTTTGGTCTGGAATGAGACGCTATGAATTCCTCAGTCGCGGTGTTTGAGCAGCAGACCCAGACCCTGGTTCGTATTCGGTCGTGTGTCTGCTCGTGTCAGGGACATTCAAATCTGAGCTGCCAAGTTCTCTCTGCAAAAGGGGCACAACTCCGCTCACTTGTACATATTAAAATAGGAAATAGACTTTTTAAGTGCTCTTTGCATTGTAATGTGTTGGCAATTTTATGTTTGTTTTTAATATTGTTTATTTGTATGGAAACATTAATTCCAAGCACTCGTGCACGTTGGTCTGTTGGCAATCGTATGCTTGCTCTCCCTCCGGGTTATACGTGAACACATTCACCTTCAGCAGTAGGTAGACTTCTCTGGTTGTGAAGAGCGATGCATAATCGTGTAGGTGAATGCAATATCTGGAAAGAGTTCCGCGGAGTCCTTTAGCAAAAAATAACAATGAAATGTGTTTATTTTGGGCTCAAAAGCGTGACTTGTTAAATTTTTGGTTTCTGACAATATTGTTCCTAATTTCACTTTTTATTGTAACCAGCTGTCCAAACTGTTAATGTTTTACACTCACCCTGAAGTCAGTCGCCTTTTGGTATGATACAAAATGTAATTGATTTCGAGAATTGTCTGGTTTTTTTTTGTATGTCAGGCACATAATGTAAGGCGGTTATTTTGCAATAATGAGGAGGTTAAAGGCAACAATGTTTAAAATCGCCTACCCTGTGTTACTCATGTATCCAGTAATGTAGCAAGTTAAAATGTTTGTAGCAAGTAGCAGCTATTGTAGTCTCTTCTGACACAATTTGCCCAACAGAGATGATATCCACTTTAGGCCGAGTCCCGCATTTGGAATTCTCCTCAGGGTTATCTCGACTGACTGCAGATCCCCTTGTAACAAAATCAATTTCCCTGAAGCTCGAACAGAAAGAAATTGGCTTCGATCATAGTTAACCTTGCGAGCTGAGAAACAACAAGATGACTTAAAAACCCTTGCATCTTAATCCTGTTCGGAATGATACTTCAACGAACTTTAGAATGAATTGCAGTGCAGGTTGGAAGAAATAATTTTGCGAGAGAATTGATTATTTTTGCTGGATTTTGTAGTGCCTAGGAGTGAGAAAATCGCAAACAGCAGAGAGGTCGAGGCTGGCTAAAACTTTTGGGGAAAAATTAGGTTAATGGGGTGGGGTGGTGGGTCGGTCAGTAAAACGTTTTTAATGTCAGAATTCCGGAATATTAGACACTATATCGTTTTGCTTTACCTATTGTCAAAGGCCACTGCCTTAACTACTGTAATGTGAAAAGTACCCTTCCAACAGAGGCTGGAATAAAACAAAATATTTTGTGTGAAACCTTCTGTCTGAGGGTTTGAACGTTGTATTCGTACATTTTTTAATGACCTCATTTGACTGCCCAGTTAACGATATTAAAATTACTTTCTTTTTTTTAAAAAAAAGATATTCGATATATGTTGTAGGAAAGGCAAGCACAAGGACTGAAATGTTGCTTGTTTTACGCGTCTCTCTCAGGCTTTGCGATTTGTTTACAGTTGGGGGATTACATTGGGACTGTTGTTTAACGCGAAGGGTGTTTGAGGATGGAGAAGATGAGAGGCGCCCTGGAATGAGCTCAGATTTCCAACGGGTAGAACCCCTTTCAATAATTGATGATACTTGGAGCAGTATAGCGACACGTTACGGTGTAAATTTGACCCGAAACTATCCGTATTTCAAAAAAAAAGCTGCAGGAAAAAAATGCCTTCTTGGACCCGCTCAGTTTGAAAACATTTTTTTTAAAATCTTCTCCGGATTAATAGTTTATGAATTTTATGGCAGTTTTATGAATAGGGAAAATAATCAACTTTATCTTTTAAGTCCATCAGTTTTCAAGCTCCTGTGGCAACGTGAGTTTTTGATTTAATGTGCTACTCGGGGGTTAATGATAAACGGCTCCCTTTTCCCCCTTACCCCATACCCCGGCTGCTCTCCAGACAGGTTCAAAATTCAATACAACTGCAAAGCCTTTCAACATTAAAAGGTGCAGTCGGTTTGTTTCAGTTTGTCACCAGCGGGTGGGAGTGTTCACGTTACCTGAGAGTTCCAAATGCTTGGTTTTTTTCCCTCTGCACTCATCACAGCCCCTCCCTCCGTCCCTCCATCCATCCCCTCTTTTTTGTACTAAAGATGCTGCCTCTGGTTGAGTGGCAAACATCAAACGCACTCTTTAATTTGGATCATCTCAATGTCTTGGAATGAAGGGGCTAGCTTCAGCGAGGATGAAAGTGCAGTCATCCCTGAAACATAAGCAGGATGAGTAGTGAAGCTTCTACAGTGCTTTGCAGAAGTATTTCCTCTCAAAACTGACAATTTACGAGGAATGCCCAGGGATGTAAAATCGACCTGTGAAAGGTGCACCTATCCCCACCCCACCGTGCTTTTCTGAATAATTGCATCTTATCGGCAAGAAACATGTTTAGGAGTGAGGAGGCACTTTTTTCTAAAAAAAAGGGCTCTCAATTGCCTTCGCATTATTCTCTGACCTGGTTCGGTGTTTTTCTGTTTTTATTTTTTTGCAGTAGTGTATGTGTATTGTTTAAATCAACCCCACTGCCCAATTGTTAACATCATGCGTATGAATTTCAGCCGAATGTTTGTGGACAAAAATCGATTATACAAGGTGTTAAGGATTCCCACCTCGATACCCCTCCCACCCCCATTTTATATAGGGCTTAATGCAGTGACATAGTTGATGTTAAGTTACAGTTGAATTGCGAAGACGTTCAAAAATTTGGAAAATTGTATGTTAAATTTACTTTCTAAATCTGGTAGCAAGGTGGCTAGATTTTAGCTAAGGGTTTACATCTTAGTGATTTTTCTCCTCTTTTTCCCGTCATTTGTGTTAGGGACGTCAGTTTCTTCAGAATCTGTAAATTGCTTAAGAAATGAATAAGGCACTTCTGCAAATTGGGGATTATCCTTCAATTGGAATAGTTTACCAGGGTATAAAAGTGAAGCCCTCTTATCTATAATGCAAGGAAAATATTGCAAAAGGCCTGTGCAAATGTTGGTCACTCTCTGCACAGCCCTATATTCTCAATGTGTCTAGTTGGTTTCTAGATTTAAAATGCTGCAGGAATGGAATTTTTCTGCAGTCTGTCGAAGTTGAGTGCTATCAACAGCTGGATCAGTCCCCAGTTGGAAGAGTCCTCAAGGCAACAAAGGCTAGTTGACTGTTATTGTGGGAAACCTGTAATGAGGAAGGTTCTGCATGTCTAGTGCTTTTTGTTTCTGTCATCCTGCTGGGACCAGCCTCTGGGGTTAAAAGACATATACTGGGAAACTTCTGCCTGGGGCCACTGTCTCCCTCTTAGTCTTGTGGGGTGACCCTCATGATGCACACACACAATTCCTCAAAGACATTTCCAAATCTAAAACTGAAATAATTTAGTTCTCTTTTCTCCTCATCTAAATCTCCTAGTAGTTGGAACATACATTGAAAACAAATTTTGCATTAATACCAGGATGCTAAAATGAATTCACTTTTTTAAAATCTTGCAATGTAGTAGGATGTAATGCATTTCTCTGCTCTCGAATGTGCAAGACAAATTACCATGTATGTTCCCCTCCAAGTCACACACACCATCCAGACATGAAAATATAATCACCATTCATTCACTCTTGTTGGGACAGAATTCGGGAGCATCCTCCCCAACAGTGTTGAGCCTAAATACAGCACATGGATGCAGCGGTTTAAGAAGGCAGCTCGCCACCATCTTCTCAAGGCCAACTAGGGATGGACAATAAATGCTTCCCAGCCAGCGACACCCACGTCCCTTGAGTGAATTAAAAAAGAAATTAAATGGAGATATTAAACTAACCACCTACAGTATTCTGTGATCTAGATATGAGTTCATATATAATCTGACTCCTATCCTGTACATTACCAACAGTTAGATTTTCTGTACAATGTATGAGTTGCATTACAATTTCATCTGGTGCTGTAAAGAGAATTATTGCATTAATCCTGTATCCTGAAGTTAGTTCGGTAAATTTGTCAGAGAAGGGGTATGTCAATGTTCAAGTAAGATTCTTGCTTCTAACCGTATTCTGTTCGTACTGGGTTAAAAGTTCAAATAAAAAGATCAAGTCATTCCCTCAGTTCAAACATGTGGTGAGCTTGTGACAGAAAGATGGCAAATTGCTGAAAACAATCTGTCCTTCAGCTTAAAACAAAAAGTGCAACATAAAGCAACAGGGGCAAAGGAAACACAATTTTTAAAAGTCATTTTTATGCACCAGCAAAGCAGACTGTACGATGTCCAGTTACTTCCCAAACAATGTTGAAATGCTTTCTCCAGAGCACATTACCGGACCCCTAGTGTTAGTGTGATCTAGGAACATTTATTATTTAGTGGTTTGGTGAGTGTATCAGAAATGGGAAGTATATATTTATCATTTCTCATTGACTAGTGAATCAGTGTTTCGTTATGTTACAGCTTGTGTTTCCAGTAACTAATTTGGAATAAACATGAATGTCACTGACCCTATCTAAACCGTGGGTACAAGAAGGGTGTAATTTTTCAGAAGCCATCTGTTCCGATCATGTCTTATTTAAATTGTGTTTGCAGTTTGAAAGAACAATTTTAGTGATTCCCATGATCATGTTATTTAGAACCCTGTTGCTCCAAAGTCACTCAATAACATTGAAACT